AGCCATGTTAATTTTTTTAACTTTGATTTCTCTCCCTTTTAACTTGTAAATTTCAAACTTGTTTTTAATTTTGTTTTGGGAGTACTTTCAGTCATATTTTTGTATTATCTTATTTTGTTATTTGTGAATCACCCAAAATCACTTAAGTGATATAGGCAGGGTAGAAATTTGATAGAGAGACTGCTAGTGGTTTTGTGTGGGTTTATTCTTGATTCAGGAAAGTAGCTGCCAAAGTGTCAGTATCATATTTTAGGTAGCTGCATTTAAAATTTGAAATGTAAAGTTTATAAAGGTAATTAGGTAAGACAAGCGGACAGATAGTGTCTTCTATAATTGTTTTGAACCCTAGTTTACACCATCAACATCCAATACGTTTGTTTGGCATGAGACAAATTTCCCAAGAAATCAGGTTGGGTTGAAAAATATAACAGCAAGGTTATACAATTGTGTTTAGCACTCTTTGTCATCAATGCAAAGGTAATTATTAATGAGAAATACATTTTAAAGGTACATTTTTCCTGACATTGTTTAAATGACAAAGCTTATCATATTCAGTTTGTTTTAAAAACAGACTTTCCAGGAGTAGTCTTTCCAGGAAATTATTTTCCTTATAATCATTACTCTGTCACTTTGTCTAGAAGTTTGCTTCCACTTCCTCATATAGTCATGGAAATTAATCTGTTTGCTTATTTGGCTTCCCCTACATCCTTATTGTAAAGTTCACTATAAAGATTAAAGGCATAGACTGGGTTTAAAATCTTCTCTTTCTATCCTTTTTTCCTCTTCTTTTTTTTTTTTTTTTTAACTTAGTCAACCTGCTTGTTACTATCTATCAGAAATTTGAGAATGCAAAACATACTGTGCTTATAAACGTTATAATTAAAGTTTATTTCTCTGGAGTACTAACAATGAAATTAAATGGTATAATTGAGACTCGATGATTTTATTGTTTGGAATATAGCAATTCAAGGATATAATCTGCTAAAAAAATTAACAGAAACAGAAAAGGCAGAAGAAAAGCACAATTATTCACATTTGTTCAAAAATGCAAGTGAATATGGTAATGTTCATGAGAGACTTTGGGTTTAACAAAATACCTGGAGAAAGGAATAAAAGCAATGCAGGTAATCCTTGACATACAACCACTAGTTTAGTGACTGTTCAAAGTTACAATGGCAGTGAAAAAGTGACTTATGATGGTTTTTCATACTTACAACTGTTGCAGCATCCCCATGGTCACATGTTCAAAATTTGGACGCTTGGCAACTGGCATGTATTTCTGATGGTTGTAGTGTCCTTGGGTCATGTGATCACCTTTTGTGACCTCCTGACAAGCAAAGTCAAGGGGAAAGCCAGATTCACTTAACAATCATGTTGCTAACGTAATTCACTTAACAACTATGACAAGAAAGTTGGTCAATTGGGGCAAAACTCACTTAACAACTCTCTTGTTAGCAATGAAAATTTTGGTCTGAATTGTGGCCGTACGTCGAGGACTACCTGTACTGTGATCAGTGTTGTGATGAGGAATAAAAGTAAGATGATGATCTGAAAGAAAGGCTTTGCAGCACCATAGCATAAATGAAGCATCTCTCTTCCAATCGTTAAAGGAGCTATGTTTTTTGTAAGGGATTGTTTTGAAAGCTATTCCCTGTTGTCCCCACATTTAGACGCAGGCACATCTATTTTGGGCTTTTCTCAATACCATAAACATACTAATATATATCGAAAAAGGCCTCTTCCATATGCTTTGCACAGCCCTACTGGACAGTTTAGTTCCTGTTGACAATTCAAACAAGCGTTTTCTAAAATGAAGCTTCTTTCAAGAAGACATGAAATGCTAAAGACATTTTTCCTGACATGGTTTAAGAGACAGACTTTCCAGGAATAGTCTTTCCAGGAATTCCTTTTCCTTAAAATAATTACAGTGTCACTTTCTCTTGAGGTTTCATTGCTTCTACTTCCTCAGCAAAGATAAGGAAAGGAAAAATTTTGACAATCAATGTAGTGCCTAATGATTATTGGAGGGGAAATGTCCCAAAATTTAGAAAGATGGGGAAAATCTGGGAAACGACAGGTTGGTCAGTCTGTCGTTGATATCTGCGAAGAGACTAGAACTTTTCATAATGCAAGAGATCTGTAAGCATTTTGAAAAGATGCAATAATAAGAACCATCAAGAATAGTCTGTAAATACATCTTAATATATCTTTATACTTAAGGTAAAGGTTCCCTTTGCACATATGTGCTAGTTATTCCCGACTCTAGGGGGTAGTGCTCATCTCCGTTTCAAAGCCGAAGAGCCAGCGCTGTCAAAAGATGTCTCCATGGTCATGTGTCTGGCATGACTAAACACCAAAGGCGCACGGAACGCTGTTACCTTCCCACCAAAGGTGGTTCCCTATTTTTCTACTTGCATTTTTTACGTGCTTTTGAATTGCTAGGTTGGCAGAAGCTGGGACAAGTAACGTGCCACCCTGTTACGTGGCACTAGGGATTCGAACTGCTGAACTGCCAACTTTTTGATCAACAAGGTCAGCATCTTAGACACTGAGCCATTGCGTCCTCATAACCTTAATATATCAGGTTAAATAGTATTACATAGACCTGTTTTTAGGGAATTTATAGTTACTCATTTGAAAAGCTTGGAATCAAATTTAAACCAAAGTTGCGATAGTGTATATAATCTGATATTTTGGTACACTGAGGAAGTAATGTAGGAACTTTAAAGATCTTCAGTTTTTGTATGGCTAAAAAATTGACATGTGGAAATCATAAGGGGTATTGTGTGGGTTTAACATTTAAGGCAATTTGCTGTGGTTTAAATATAATTAGGAAATCCATTCTTTTATGTACAGTAGATGTAAAGACTAGTAAGTCTGTTGGCTTTCATTTCTTAAGAATTACAGTTTGTGGTTTATGTTTTTTTATGTTATGATTACATCCTGTATAAATGGTTTGGTTTGTACATATTGCTTAAAAGCCAGTTAGCCAGTGTTCTAGGAAGAAGACAGTAGTATTTGATCAGTTTACCTATGAAAGAAGTTACTATGTAATGGTACATTACTTTAAAATAACATTAGGATTTTAAAAAAAATTACTGTATGTGACTGAAGTCTGAGCTTTATCTCTTTAATACTAGCTTTCAGAATAGATCAATACTTTTTTTAAGGAGGCTTCAAAATGAAACAAACTTGATTAAAATTCAAATAAAACTCAATTCCCAGATTAAATTTGTGAAACTATTTTTATTTGATGTTACACCTTTCCATTTTCAGAACTCTTTAGGTAGTATGGGTCAAAAATAATACATATGTGATTCCCAAAATAATTATCAAGCAACTCAAAATATGTGGACAAGTCCCCTAACTCCTTAAGAGGAAAAGAGTAAAGTTCTAGTAGCAACTACAAGGGAGGCTTTCCACTGGGGAATGTGTGTCAGCTAAGTCAATTCAAATTTTTTACATGATTTGAAGAGCTGAATTGATATAGCTCATTACTTTTTAATAATAATCTAATCTTTGAACCACTGCAGAATTATGTAGTGCAATTTGATAAATCAGTTTATTGCACATTTGTATTTAGATAATTTCACAGTGTTGCCTTTCAATCAAAACTTCAAACAGTTGTATTTCCTTTTTTTGTTTTGTCAGATCACCTTAGGGCAGGGGTATCAACCTCAACACCTGTGGGCTGGATCCGGCCGATGGACTGTTTAGATTTGGCCTGTGTTTTCCTTGGCACAGGGGTGCAGGAGGATCCCCCCAGCCCCACTCGAGCCACCTCAGGTGCTCCCTCACATGAATGATGTCAAGCTGGCCACACCCACCCCGACCATGCCCATCCGGCCCCCAGAGCACAAACACAACTCTGATGCGGCCCTCAATGAAATAGAGTTTGACACCACTGCCTTAGGGTCTTTTCTGTCACTGATTAGATGTACCCATATTGTACATATGGTCCCTTAAGTCAACAGCTTTCAAACGTAATATTTTGTGGGGAGGGTTTTTGTTGTTGTTGTTTCCTTAGTCCCTTGTGGCTACTTGAGACCTCAGAACTCAGTCTGAAATGTCCCACTATAAATAATCAGGTCTTATATCACTTAATGGCTTTAAAAGTTAAAAGAGCATTAAGTTGAAATTGCATTAAAACATTGATACAGATCTTTCAGCAAAGGCATAATGCAATTACTGTATCATGAACCAGTCATCAGTATAGTTACTGTATTGTATAATTATCAAAAACTTTGGAATGCTCTTCAAATATATTTTTATATCAAGTTTGTTGATTTTTAATTTTTATGTAACTAAGATATGGGTAACTGTTGCCAAACTCAATATTTTGCAGTTGCTAGATTATTTCAGGACCAGAATTAAGTTAATGTTGGAAAATATCTTAAAATTCACATCTTCTGTATCTTTGTTCCCCATCCCCCTTTCCAACTGTTAAATGAAAAATATGTCATGTTTAAAATGTTCATCTGATCTACAAACAGTTGTTGGCAAAATGTGATTTATATTGATATTGCAGATTTATGATGTGGTTTAACATGTTTAGATCATACAGAATGTTCATGAAGTTGAGGTTTTGAGGTGTTTTCTAATCTGCGATGGTGCTTTTATTACACAGTTGTGTCACATTTTTATTTAAAACATTATTTCAAATAAAAAGAAAGCATTTTTTAAAAAAACGATGGTAGCGCAGTGGTTAGAATGCAGTATTGCACGCTAATTCTGCTGACTGCCAGCAGTTTGATCCACACCGGCTCAAGGTTAACTCAGCCTTCCATCCTTCCGAGGTTATTAAAACGAGGATCCAGATTGTTTGGGGGCAATATGCTGACTCTGTAAAAACCACTTAGAGAAGCAGAGTGCTGCAACACAGTGTGAAGCGCCATATAAGTCTAAGTGCTATTGCTATGTGCAATGTTTTATTTTACCAGTCATGCTCTTGTGAGATAATTATGTATAACTATATACTAAAGTTAACACTTTATTGCTAGATAACACCAGAACGACCTTTTATACAGAAGCTATTCCGTCCTGTTGCTGTAGATGGACAGCTACATACACTGGGTGATCTCCTAAGAGAAGTTTGTCCTGCTGCAATTAATTCTGAAGGTATTCTCTTAAAAGACATATTGGAATATGTTTTTCTTGCTTTTAGAGTGGGGTGGGTTTTTTTTAACCATCTCTTGGTCTGGAGAGTTGTAGTGTTAATCTTAAATTTGAAATGAAGCTAAAGCATAGAGGTAATCCTTGATTTATGATCCCATGCTTAGCAATCGTTTAAAATTACAATAGACCTCCAAAAGCTACTTACAACATAGTTTTGAAATTCTGATCTCACTTTTCCCCCAGTGGTCATGACATCATATTTTGGGTGCTTAGCAACTGGTCTACATTTATGACTATTTGAAGTGCTCCACAGTCATATGACCACGATTTATGATATTTCTTCCAGAAACTGGCCTTTACATCTCATTTCCAGTAAAAACTGCCTCACAGTGAACAGTGGTTTTGCTTAATGACCATGTTTTGTTTGCTTAATGACCTTGGTGTTTGCTTAATACCTGCCACAAAAATGGTCATAAAATTGAGTCCAGACACATGGTGACCTGCTTTATGACTGGCACAACTGCTAACTCTACTTTCCAAGCTCAATATGGTCATAACTCAAGGACTATCTGTCATGAAAAATAGATGACAAATAGCAGAAGCAACAGAATCTGATTTTGGATTTTTAATTGGGCTTTGCCGAGCCTATATAGTCGTTGCTCCTTTTCTATGTTTGGCAAGATCAGAATAAATTGTTTTATAGTTTGCAGCTTTTGAAAACTAAGAGAAGAGAAGACAAATCAGCTTCAGGACAATGTCCAGCAATAACAACTCAACATTTTCTAGTTGAGAATGCATTATTTACATTATGTTATGTTTCTTTGGAATCAATTGATTCAAACTATTTCACATTTATGTTCAATCATTTCTTGAGTGGACCTCAGGTTTAGAGAGCTTCAGCCATTATGGACGTAGATATGGGGAGAAGAGTGTTTCATTCATTTCCCTTTGTACCCTTGTAAATCTCTTCCTAAAGTTTCAGGGACATTTGGAATAGTATGTATATGTGTTGGATGATTACAGGAGGAATAAAGAGCAATCTCATCTATGAATAAAATCATCTGTGATCATCTATGAATAGAAAGAACCTAAGACCCAAACGTATTTTCTGAAAAAGCATTGAATAATTTTCAGGTTAATACCTTATAATACAATTCAGAATTTATCACACCTTCTACAAGCTCTTATGCATACTTTTGTATCCCTGGTTTAAGGATTAATGTGATGAGTCTAACTTTGCTATTACCTGAATTTTATTTTTTTCTTTGCTTTTTATTAATGTATGGAAGCACAACCAAGAAGAAAGAACAGAAATGAAATAGAAAAGAGATTTACAAAGATATACAAAGTGAATAAGGATTTTGGAAATAGCACTCAATTAGTGTGTGTACAAAGGCAGTTTATATAATTTAGCACTTTAAAATTATTAAAGTCAAATAAATGTTTGGTAGTCAGGGAAGGCAGCCAATCATCAATCAGAACAAATGCACAATAGAAATTTCTATCTAATCTGGGAAAGTTTCATTATTATACAAGTCAAGCAAAATCTAATATTTTTAAAAAAGTTACATTAAGAGAGACTCAAATTTTGGTTGTGCTACAAGTCTGTATGCAGAATTATAATCCACAAATGTTTTCCAGATAAAATGAATTAAATTAATTCAGTATCCAACTTGTTTTTTTTAATTATTCTTAACACTGATGTGTGCTCACATTGCTTAGTCTGCCATTCTTTTGAGTATATGGCATTGGTTTTTTTATATGATAGAATTTGCTGGGATACTTTTATTTAAGTTACAGATTCCTTCCTTAAAAGTTGACAAATTTTAGTCAACAACTACAGCACTATACTCTGCAGATACCATTAAGTCGTTCTATGCCCCAATTCTCTCTTACAGTGATGTAGGGTTTCCTGCCTAAGTAGGGGGTTGGACTAGAAGACCTCCAAGGTCCCTTCTAACTCTGTTATTCTGTTAGCATGGAGCTTAATATGTGGAGACAGATTTTCATTGTTATACTTTCTGAGTTGTCCAACAAGATCAACAAGAACTCAAGGGTTCCTCCTAATGTTTTTGCTGGGGAAAACATTTCCTATAATTATGCCATACTGCTGATACTTGCAGAACTCTGAAACACAGTACTGATTATAAGGCCAAACTCTTTCTTCTTATGACCTGTAAAGAGGATGGCGTTTGCTCACGTTGCACTTGTTAGAGGTCTATGGAACACTTCCTGTGAATTGCTTGGATAGTAAAGAGAAAAAAATCCCTTGCCACAGGCTGTCATGACTTAAAGTAATTACGGTGAGCTTTTCCTGTGGTTTCTGTGCTCATAAGCCAAGATCCTTAGCTGAAATGAAATGAATTCAGCAGCAAAGTATTCTTTACTTCGGTATTGCTGCCACTTCTCTTTCGCTTTCTGAACATAACTCTTTGCATCCACTTTCATTCAACAATTATTATGTTTTAAAGTAATGATTAGTATCCATCCAAAAATTAGTTGAAACTTGGTATCATTTGCCATGATTTGTGTGCAAGCCTGGATGGAGGTATTTGAATTTGTATTATTTGTATGAATAATACTTCTGCTTATTATCATTGGATAAAAGCTATCAAGTCTTGTATGCACATTTTTACTCCTACATCATGTGTGTTCTTCAGATTTAGATCTCATTCTCTCCTCCACAGGTTGCCTAAGATTAATTGCTGTTATAAAGTTAGTGTTTGATTTATTCGCTATGGCATAGCTGGACTCAGTTAGTCCTCTGTGACCTGACCCCCACTGACTGTGTCACCAACATGGCTGTGACTGACGTCTTTTAGAATTTTAGCCCCTTTAAGTCAGGGGCTCTTCATGGAGTGGATTTGATTAGGCAAATCTTTACTGGTCCACAGAAAAGAAAAATGCATTTGAACAAACTTACGAAAATATCTAAATGGCTCTTTGCCTAGGCCCCACCCCCCAAAATTTACATTTCACTGTGCATTCTTTTTATTTATGTGAGCTTGTTGAATTATCTAAACTAATATAGGATATCTAGTAAAGTTAAGAATTTATGCTTCAAGTCTTAGTTCAAATATTAGTTATTACTACTAACAAACTAGTGTCTTTAATGCAGTGTTAAAAATCTTGCTCATATTGTAAGTGTGAACATTTGGAAAACAATGAGCTGTTTAGTTAATGAAAGTAAGGCATTTCTAATACAATAGCATAAAATGGCTATTGTATGATGTAGGATTCTGCTTTTATATTTTGTTATAGGACATAAAAATGTGTTGAGGAAAAGATGACTTATTGCCATTTGAATGAACACACCCTTTCCCTCAGCATGTTTTTCAGCTAGGAGATCATTTGAGAGTGGCTAAACTTTTTAGTTTGGTGTAAGATACGGTTGTATGGTTTAAGGTGGAGTAATGCTGAACATGCTTTTCCAACATTTATTCAGGGCAAAGTTACATCCCTTCTCTAATTCAGTTTAACAACTAAAATATATAAATTTAATAGTATGGCACTGTTTAGTACAGCAATTAAGAGATGCCAAAAAAGAAAGAAAATAGCTCTTAAAACAATAGTATATTAAAATAAAGTTTAATAGCTTTTTAGTTAAACATCATTACATGAGGCTGAATTCTTCACTACTGTATGAACAAACGCTGTTTATCTGGACATATCCACAGAGATAATTTGTGACTTTTCTGAGAACTGAGAATCTCCTTGATTACATCTTTATATTGATTCACTTTATATTGCCTTGCCCCTTCTGTTTCTCTTGTCTTTCCAGGCATAGTCATTTTTTTTCTTTGACAATTGTTTACTTGCTGTATATACCCTAGCCCTAACCCTTACCCTAAATCTAACTCTTATTGTTTCCTGGTCATCATTTCATGTGAGCAGTCTTTATCCAGGATAAATCAGTCCATGGAATTTTTAACAACCTATTCGAGATCTATAACTTCAGGGTACCTATCGTATTTCTCTCGCTCTTTGTTAGTGTCAGCTTTTACAAGCATATGTTACAAGAAATCAATGGATTTTGACTATTCTGATCTTTGTTATCATAAAAATATTCTTATCTCCATGATCTTGTCTAAGTTGGTCATTGCCTTTCTAGTAGTATTAATCTCCTGTTTACTGTACTTCTCTAGTGCATTGTCTATCTTCATGTATTGTTGAGCCCAAGAAAATAAATTTATCTCTTAATTTTTGCTTCATTGCTATTAACTCTGACGTCACTAAACTTAGTGGTTGGCATTGTCTTAGTTTTCTTAATATTAACCTAGATTTTCCATTTCCCATTTTTTACTTCCATAATGTGCTCTTCCAAGTTTTCTTTAAATTTGCTTATTTTTAATACTTGGTATTTTCACCTCCTATTTTGATTTGGTCCATTATTCTGATAATTTATTTGCTGGACAAGTTAACCAAATATGATGAAATACATTTCTCTCAATCTCATTTCTTACTGTGAACTATTCTGTTCCTCCAAATTCTGTTCTTATACAAGCTTCTTATTCATCTAAAATTTCCTTGGAAGAATAATCCTGTTTTCTAGTGTATTGATTACTCTTAATAATTTGTGTGTTCTGGCATGATCTACACAAAGACTTTGCCATATTTAATAAATCAAAGATAAATTTATCTTGTCCTCACTGTTATTATCCTTCATTACATATCAGATCTTGTATGTCTCTGTCTTTTCTGAGAACTGCATTTAATATTTTTCTCCGTAACTTTTCAAAAGTATATAAAAGTAGAGCCAGGAATACCTCCTCTTTAAAGGAATTTACAAATAAAGCGAAGCACTGTTGAAGTAATTGTTCTGGAAAAGTCCAAGCAGATTTGTGAGATATAGATAGGCTCTTAGCTATCTTCTTACCACTTCTAGGATCTTGACTTTGATGTTTTGAAGAACAAGAAGTATTAACCTTTAAATGTCTAAACTCTTTTCACAAGGTTTTAGAAGATCTTCTAAAATAATGGGCACACTCTTGTTTGCTGGTCTA